AATGAGGCTGCTCCGACGTGCTATAAATTAGTGTGTTGGAGCAGACGTGATTAACCAGTTCTGCTGGAGCTTGGTAATTACCACAATCCAGTTGACTCCAGCATCACGTGTATCAATGTCACCGCACTGAAAGTGGTGGCGGGGGCACTTTTAACTAAAGCTTGTTCAATAAGATTTACTTAAAAATGCCCGCACTGCCATTTTTCAGCTTGGGGATGGTGATACATGGGATGCTCTAGGTGCTTTAATTAGAAGGCCTCTGAGAGCCATTCTAATTAAAATTGCCCCTGCCTCCCCCCGCACTCCCAAAGAACTTGTATAAACACCCATAGTTTTAAGTTTTCTTTATCACATGCAATTACACAACTACATCAATCTCATTAGTTCAAAGAAATTGGTTCATAAATGAAGAGGGGGAAAAAAAAAAAAAAAAAAAAAAAAAAAGTGAAATTGAACCACAGCACATCAGATCAGTGAAGGTGAGCTACTGCCTCTGCACTGACTATTCATTGGATAAAATGAATGCAGAGCAATGGAGAATTTTCTGTTCCATTTAGAGGAAGGGTCCAGTTTAGAAACCAAAGCCCTCCCCTTTCCAGGGCAACAATGATCCTAAAGAGCCATGCTTTCCAGCTTGCCCCACAGATTTCCCTCACTTGGCTGCCCTGCGGAGGAGAAGCAAATAGGGTCTAAATAATGCCTAACCTGTGCCAAGATTGCCATTGCTATTCTCCCTGGGAACATGAAGGAATAAATAACAGATCTTCATGTTGCTTTGCTTTTTGTGCTAGTGGTTGGCACTCAGTTACATCAGTACTGAGCACAGGAAAAGAATCTATATGTTGAATAGTGCACAGAGAAGCACACCATACTTCACTGAGGCATTTTCAGATACAGTCCTTTGACAGTGCAAACATGCCTACCAACTCAGAATAAGCCACAACATTAATTTGAATACACCTGACTACAGTACTACTGTCAAATAATAGCTACTATGAAGAAGAAAAACACCCTACAGTGCTCCAAGATCTTGCCTCATGTTGAGCAAAAGATAGGGGAGGGTGGCATCTTAAGATTAACCTGTTCGGAAAGGACTAAGCTTTCATAAGTAACAACCTACTTCACCAGATACTATGAAAGGACTGGCAGAAGGAAAGCAGAGAGACCAAAATCCAGTCAAGCCACTCTCTCTTTCAACACTGTTCACTGTCCTTGTCCTTTTCCCTTCTATATAAAACCCTTTCCTTCCATCAGTCATTTCATAGTATCTGACAAAGTAGGTGGCTGCCTATGAAAGCTCATGCCTTTCTGAACCAGTTAGTTTCCAAGGTTCTACCCTGTCCTACCTTCTGCCTGACTTCAGAGTAACATGGCTTAGCACCCCAATGTTGAATTGCAATTAGTGGAAATTAAAAAATTCAAAATCCACAGAAAACCAGGAAAAGCAGAAAACAGGAAAAAAGCCTCTGAAGCAGGCATAAGGGACACTACTTTGCATGAACTGCAGAATATAAAGGAGGAACAATGAAGTAACAATAATTATTTTATATCTAAAGGGAAATATATAAGTACAGATTCATAGATAATGCCAGAGAAAACCTGTGTGATTCTCTGAATTGACGCCACCTTGTAATACAAATGAGAGGACTTCCCTAAAATTGATTCATGTTTGAATTTCAGCACCTTCTGTAGATACCTGAAGGCAGACTTACTTATCTGATGACACTTGGTGACAGTCCCAAACCCAAGTAAAATAAGGAGCATTAAGAATGGACTAGTTGCTCATTCTGGTGAAAGAAACTGATGACTACAAAGAGGGGCAACTTAAAGTTGGAGGGCATACAAATGATGACAGACTACAGCCAAAGCTGAAGTGGCACCGAGACCTGTAACTTCAGCCCTGAAGCAATAAAATTCACCGGGCTCAGCTGCTAGAATATGTGCATGTTGAATGAAATTTGTAGGTGCACTCACTTTATTATTTAGACGAAAAGTTGTATATTAGAAGTACTAGAAAAGTATCTGGGGTGGATTCAGAAGGGGTGCAATGGCACTACTGCACCCACCTCTGAATCAGCGCTGCTACAGAAGCAGCAGCCAGGGACTTCTTTTAAGTCCCCAAATCCAGTAAAAATCCTTCTCCCACCCCATGTTCCCTATCCACGCTCAGTGGCACCTCTCTCCACTGCTGCATCTGGCCAAGCCTGGTTCCATGTGCAGCCCAGCTGGAGCAGGGCAGGAGCAGCTCTGGAGCTTCCCCTACCTCTTGTCAGTTAGGTACAGCAGTAGTGATATGAGGGGAGGAGGGGAATGGCAGGGGAGAGAAAGGGATGTGCTTCTGAGCCTGGAGGAGAGGGGAGGGGGCAGCAAAAATTCTTACTTGATTGAAAGACTTAAAAAACAAAACAAGGAGAGAGAGACTACAACTGCTGCTCCTGTGGCATGGTCTGCCCACCCTGGTAGTGATGGAGTCTGGAAACAGGGGGTTCAGCATCTCCAGCACAGGTTGCTATTCCTGAACCTTTTTTTTTTTTTTTAAAAACAAGATCCTGGATCTGCCAAAGAATATATTAGATCTAGTAGACAAGAATAAATGTGACAATAATTGAAAAGACCACTATTTTAAACTCAGGCAAAGCAGAAAATATACATACTTGAAAGAGTAGCATTATTTCTATCCAAGAATGCCACCAAAGCACTAATAAAATTGAACCCAGGAAAGGAAAATTAGAGTTGCATGTTTTTCTACCCCATACGCAAAGGTTACAATCATTTAATAATACTGTGCAGCAGATGAAAATAAAGATGTTGCAATGCAATTTAAGATACTCTAAACAATATACCAAGGCATAACAATGTCACATCAGTAGCAGATTTAATTACTAAAAAGTAGGAACAAATAAGACCAATATTCCTTTTCCATTCCAAAAAAGAAGGAATTACAAAAAACAAACAAAAACACCATATGGCCAAATTATGTAAAACAGCTTAGCTGTTGGAAGGATAACTTTTCCACAGAAAGATATACATAGAGACACATGGGCATTGCACAATGGAACTATAGAAAATAGATACATTATATCATGCTCAGAGGAAGATGGATTGAATCACTGAAAAAAAAAATGCATGTTCATTCAGTGGGGGCAAATATAGAGAATAACCAAAGCCTTGTAATAGAAATTATCAACATAGAATAAAGTTTGCAAGAAGAGAAGAAAACGCACCATATGAAATTAGCAAGCTAGATAACTAAACCTTCATGGATATTTAGCATAGCTTAAATACTAGATACAAAAAAATTAGGAAAGTGAAAATGGAGGAAAACTGGAAGACATCAGCATGTGATGTCAAATAACTGAAGTTATTCTAGGATTTGCAAAAACAGAAAGGCTTAAGCAAACAGATCTTAATGAGTCAAGAGTCAAAGTGAAAATAGCAGAAGAAAGAAAGAGAAAGGACTAGGGAAAGTATCACAAGTAGTTACAACTGAAAAGGCAAGGAAGGAAGCAAAACCATGCAAGATGAGAGAATGAATACACACCAAAACAATTGGCTAAATCATGAAAAATCTGACAGGTATCCAGTCATTATCAGTCAATGAAAGAGTAGAGATATGTTAACAAGCAAGGATGAAAAACTAAGTTGGGAGGAGGACATTCAAGAGATTCTTAATACACAATAATGTAGATGTACAACTACAAACATTGAAGAGCTCACAAAAATCCCATCAAACATTAAACATCAAGAACAGAACAATTTGTTCTATGGGAAATTAAGCTAAAGGACTAATGAACAGGAAATCTCAAGCTGTAGACAACTGTGGCAAGGTGGGGCTCCCCACCTAGCCACAGTACTAGGTTCCCCACTTGCCTTTGAGCATGGCCCCCACCTGACTCACCTGTGATGACTTGTTATTAACCAATTAATGATCTTAATTAGGGTGGGAGGCTGCCCATTTAGTGCCCCGATGCCAGGGGGCACTATCTGCAGCTGTGTACCTCCTCTACACCGCAGCCCATGCCTCGCAGATGGCATTCGGATGTTACAGTGCTCCTGGCCTATTGCTGGACCAAGCTTAGGCCATGCTGTCAGGCCACAGTCACACACACCTTCATACCACCCTCCTCTCACTAGGGCCTCTCTCACTCCACCCTCTCTCACAGGGTCTCTTTCATACATCCATGAGTCATTCTGCCTTGTTCCCTCTTGGAGCAGGCCCCTTAGGCCAGAGGCTTAGCTAATACATCCCTTGGGCAGCAGACATACCGTCTTTTGGGACTCTCCCGTGACCCTGACCGGGGTAGTGGCCAGCCAATTACCCAACCGGGTCTAAGCTTACTCTGGCCCCTTCCAGGGGCAACTCAGTACATGCAAACACACTGAGCACTCTGGTTCTTCCCCTCACTGGGGTCCTCATCTCCGCCTCCTCACTGGGGCTACCCCTCACCAGGGCATTCTTATCCAGCACCACAACTGATGCTCCAGGGTCTCACAGGGGACTCTCACTCCCCAACCTAGAGCAGCATGTCAATGTACTATGTTATTCCCCACCTCCACCCAGGGCTCCACACCACCCCGTCCACCCAGGGCCATGGGGCTTCCCTCCCTGGTGGGCTCAGGTGGCCGCAGCTGTGCCTGGCCCCCACTCTTCCTCCTCAGGGTCTCTCGGCTTCTTGCACCCCACACAGGGCTCAGGTGGCCACAGCCATGCCTGGCCCTCACTCTCCCTCCTTGGGGTTTTTCAGGGTCTTGCACCCCACAGGGTGGCTGCAGCCATGCCTGGCCCCAACTGCCTCCAGTGTTACGCAAACCCACCCGAAGGGGAGGGCTAGGGTTAAGGCACCTCCTACCCGCCTTTCGCCAGGGTGATAACTGGCCTGGTGTTTCCTGGGGGCTCCCGCACCACTGAGAGCCCCACCCAGCCACCCACTCCCAGAAGGGTGCATTTTTAGGTCAGGACCAGGAGCCTCCTAATCATCCCCTACAGCTCCTACCCTTACCTCCAGGAGGATACAAGCAGCCTTGCAGCCAGGCAATGTTGATGCCTCCTATGCCAGCAGTGAACTGCCCTGTTTATATGGGCAGCCAGAGATCTAAAATGGCCGCAGCAATCAGGCACCTGCTGGCTGCTTGGCCTAGGTCTTAAAGTGGCAGGCGCTAACAGTGCCCTGCCACACACCTCCCCTCTTAAAATGGTAACTGGGGAGGTTTTCCCTGCTGCTCCTCCAAAGCAGGTTCCCCTAAGTGCCTGTGAGAGCCCTCAAGTGGCAAGCACCCCAAAAGGTGCTCCACCACCCACCTCCCCCATTGGAATGAGATCTGGGGGGGCTTCACTTGGCTGCCTTCCCTGCTGGGCTCTGCCCCAGCCTACAGCAGCCCCTGTCATGTGGCGAGCACTCCAAAGGTGCTCTGCCACAACAACTTTTATAAAAAAAAACTGTAACAGGCTATCCACTACCCTGACACCTGGTGCCTGCTTGGGTCCGAGCTGCCTGCCCACCCTCTCTGGTCCCACCTCACCGCCAGTTTCTCACCTCCCACACCTTTGATGTTATGGTTCATCTATTCAGGAGGCAGTCCCTGGGCCAGGGAGTAGCACCTCTGACTTTCTTGGCTGCTGGCTCTGTCCTGACCACACACATGCATTGGGGTCTTCGTTTTCCTTGGGGTGTTTCGCCTTTAAAGGAGCAACCCCTCAGGCCTCCAAGCACTTGTTAGGGCTTCAGCTGTCCTGGCCTTGGCCTCCTTTTTCACTTGCTGAGCCCTTTCCTCTGGTTCACTTGGACCTCAGGTCCTGGGCCTTAGCCCTGGCTTGGCTGAATCCCCTCCTGGGCTCCTGTTGCTCGCTCCAGCAGCAGTCCTCTCAGGCTAAGGTTAGTCTCCAATCACTTATAGTGGGCACCCCACCCATGATCTGCTCCTCCCCTCTAGCCACACTCCAGTCTTCCAGTTGAAAAACACAAAACAGTGACCTAACCAATCCTAACTGAAACATAAACCCCTCTCAGACTCATATGTTCAAGACCAGCTTCTCAGGCTGGCTGGCTTCCCCAACTCCAATCCACCAGGTACCTCTCTTGGCCTGGCTTGGTTCTTCAGTGCAGCCAGCGCTCTCCTCGGAGTTTCAGGCCCTACAGCAACCAGGCCCAGACTACTCCTTACATGATCAGAGACTAAGATTCAAGTCCAGCCTCCTTCCAGTCATGTGACTTGGCCTCAAGCACCCAGGGGCCATGTGCTGCTAACTCGTCATTATTAACAACCTGGATGTATCTAGTCCCTGGCTAAATGTACCTGTGCAGCTACTACCTGCTGCCACTTTTGCCCCTCCCCCACAGATTTCCTGCTTTTTCCCACCTTCCTAGTATGTAATAGGGGCAGTGGTTCTCTGTTACACAAACTAATAAAGGCAGCATTTTCAGAAAGATGTGCTGGTTACTCAAGATTGGCAGTAGTGCAGGAAGAGATGAAAAAGTACCAAGTGACCAGGAAAAGGGGCTTACCAGTCACACTGCTGACTAGAGGAGTTCTGGCAGATGGTAAAACCATGCTGTAGCAATTTTACAGTACATACCAGAAAACGTTTATAGCAAAATGATACTATGGTGAAAGAATTCAGATAAAGAACCTGAGAAAAGAACAAACAAGCTTAAGGCAGAGATAAATTATGCACTGAACAAGTATTCATGTTGTGAAGAATCTTTGAATGTGTTGGAGTACAAAATGTCAATCATCATTAACTGCACTGATCTTGAAAAAGCCTTTGATAGTCTTGACAGAGAGAGCTTAAGAAAAGTAATGGCTAGATACAGAACATCACAAGAGACAGAGTAATAACAAACCTTTATGAAGACCGTGAATGCTATATAAAAGTTGCCTAAAAAACAACACAGTAATTTAAGATGCTGTCAATCAAGGATGTATGCTATTGCCTTATTTTCAAACTGCCTATTTCCTGACACCATGGGACAGGCACTGGAAGGCAAAAGCTATGGAATTCCTTGGACTGATAAGTGGAAACTTGAGTAGCATACAGGCAGAAATGAACAAAAACACTAATGGAGCTGATGTAGGAGTCAAAATAGAATTAAGGCAAAATCCAAATTTTTCCCTCAAGCATTTCCAGTTCAACCTAATTTTTAGTCACTGCAACACCTAAAGGTTTGGTGCCTGCCCCCACAAAGGATACAAAGAAATAGGAATAGGTACCTCAGGTTCCCATACAGTCAAGAAAGAAAAATTACACACCTACAAATCATAGAATCATAAAAATATAGGGCTGAAAGAATGCTTGGCCATCTAGTCCATCCTCCTTACTCAAGTTAGGATCATCAGGTGGTTGGTTTAAATTCCCAAATGTGTCAGTCAAGCTGATCCTGAGAGAAGGGGCAAGGTTCTTTAACCAGGAACTTCTGGGATTTAGTCCCAGCAGGAGTACTGGCATAGCCCCCAAAAATCCTTAGCTTTGGCTGTAGCTAGCACCTAATGCTTCTGAGGAAGATGAAGGGGAAAAAAAACTGTAGCAATAGAAGAAGAAAAAAATCTTTCCTGGCCTAACAAAGCACCAATGCACAAAGCCCCTTCTTTTTTTTGTAATTAAGCCAGTTTGCCACTCTGCTTCATCCTCGTGCTGCTAAGCATTGTCCTCTCCAACATCCAACTGTTCTGAGCTGCACAGCTCTTTTCATGATCTCCCAGAGATGTTGGGTGGGATAGCCTTCTTGGGCTTCCCACTGTTGCGCTTTACCATGAGTGACTGGTGACATCTGAGTTGGGGGGCACGTGCCCCCAGTGACCAGTCAGTGACCGGGGGCCCCACAGTCAATCTTGCCGACCAGTGGAGGGGGAGGGGGCTGATCACGCTCACCTGAAAGTGGCTGCAGATGTCCTGGAAGCAGCCGCAGCCACTTCATCCACAGCTTCATTCTAGCCAGCACTCGCAGGAGGGGCACCAGTGCTCCAGCCTGCCCCCACCCACTGCCTATGTGGGGAGCTCAGCCTGACAGGGGGTGCACCAGCACTCTCAGGGGGTGCACATGCACCCCCTACTCATTGCCACTGCTCTTTACAACTCAGTGTGCTCATCTACATGAGACACTTGCTGTGCTTTAGCCTAATAATATTGTGCAGTAGTGTGTCATGGCAAAAACCATGGTAATAGCCTGCTGTGCAATGTTATTAGACTAATGCACAGTAAGCATCACTAAATAACCATGCATCAGTGCCACTGCGCAGTACCTCTAGGTACTATGCATTTCTTTAGTACTTTATTAAGGAAGTTCTAAACTAAATGTGCAGTACTGTATCTAAGATGCATTAATGAACATGTAGACATGCCCAGTAAAGAGCAAATTTAAAGCACAAATCTTTATAGTACAAAGAATGATTCAGAGTCCAGATGCCAAGCATAAGTCTGACTATGAGTTGCCATGAGCATGTCTCTGAACTTCCACCCCTCTCTGGAACTTAGACTATACAGTTGTCTGAGATAAGGCACCCTTCACACCCGTTGAAACTGGGCCACCATGCATACAAGAACTCAAAAGCCCTGAATCCAGAGAACATGCTTCTACAGCGCAATGATGAAGGCACTCCCCTGGGATAGGTTTGGGTTCTAGACCATGATCCCAGGATCCTTTATGCATTTTACATTGGGCAATCATTGGACAAAAACATAAATAACCCTGGGAGAAGGGAATAAAATCTGCTATGCTTTTGAGTAAAGGTGATTATGGCTGCTGTGCTGTCTGCTACATCTAATGTTCATGCAGAACTGATTCAGAGTTAGGAGCCAAACTGAGCAGAGTTAGGTGCCAAACTGCTCAAACTGGAGTGCATCTGTACATGTGTTGGAGTTTATGTTTATATTAGGGAACTTTTTAGTTAAAAAAGTAGGTGCCAAATAGATCTCTGTGTCAATGGTCTTGTGGCCAGTAGCGCAAGGTTATCTAGATTGCTTTTTGTGACTACATTTTGCCTCGAGCCTACTTAAGGACCAATCTGGGGTTGTGTCTACACCTGCAATTAATATGAAGTGATAAATTCTGGAGTTTATTTTTCCTGGGCGTGCCATTTGAACATGCACCCAGGACAGGAGCACATTGAGCCAGGTCAGAGCAGCCCCAGCTGGCAGGGTGTCCATGGGGTCAGCCTGCCAACCTGGGGCTGCTTCTGCCCAGCTCAATGGGCTGTGGAGGGGCTGGCTGGGGCATGGGTGTGCTTCACTGCAGGACTAGCTGACAGGTAGCTCCTACACTGAAGTACCCTCTTGCCCTAGCCAGCTGCATCAGCATCTACAAGCACCACCCTGCTGCAGTTTACTAGTTTACTCCAAACTAATAGGTGTGCACATGTAGATGCCAAGACATTTACTGTGCAACTAGTTAGTCAACCCTGAAGTAAATGTCTTGTGTAGACATGCCCTTGTTCTGACCCATGGAACATAACATACGTGGAGCAGAAGCACTGATGAACAACAGTTGCAGCAAAAATGCTCACCTGGGCTAATCATCCCCAGTGGTGTGCTTGCTTTGCATTTTTCCGTGTAGGTATAATCCTAGTGTCTGTGTCTATAATGAACAATAGTAAAGTTGATAGACAAGGTTACATATCTGGGAATGAATGAAAGACCAGGATAGATATAAACAAGCAAGATACTAAAGAAGATGCAATTGTCATTGCTCAACTTATACAAGAATGGAAACAGGCAGGATTCAAAAGCAAGCATGAAACTTAAAAATAATAGAGAAGAGGCCTTAGAAGAGCAAGAACATTTTTCCAACGAGTTAAAGAAATGAGCAAGCTGAGGAGCAACCTCAAAGAACCAAAAGAATGTACAAACACTGACATTTTGGAGAAGTCTTCCATTTGTATTATGGGGCAGAGGACCAAGGAAGGTAAGATCTAGGCACTTAATGACTATAATCAAATTACGAGAGTCTTTCATTTTCCAATTTTTTAAATCATTCTCATGGTTGTTTTCTGAAACCACTCCAATATACCAACACTCCTCTGGAATTTTGGACATAAAAACTGGAC